GATTTTAGAAAAAAGTATCGTCTTATAGTTGGAAAAATACGGTATATGCATATTCTTCAGCATTAACAGGGTTAGATCTCTAAACCTAGAAATGTATCTCTCCAGCTTTCAATTTATTTGCATTTTTCTCTGTGCAGGGTCAGGTTTGTGGCCTTTGTGGAAACTATGATGGCAATGACATCAATGATTTCACCACCAGGAGGCAGTCTGTAATAGGAGATGTCCTGGAATTTGGTAACAGCTGGAAAGTTTCTCCCACTTGTCCAGATGTCCCAAGCAGCAGGGATCCTTGTTCTGCAAACCCATATAGGAGTTCCTGGGCGCAGAAGCAGTGTAGCATCATTAACAGCAAGACATTTGCTCTCTGCCATCCTCAGGTATGGACAGATCTATTTCTGAAGACTATGTAGGGCATTTGAACAGATCTTAACCAACACATTAAGAATATGTATACATAAAAATGCTTAGGTTAAGATACAGCAGCCAAGCAACTGTAAGGAGATGCTATCATTCTGGCATTCCAAGGATTACAAAAATAAATAAAACCTTGTTCCAGCATTTTGTGATTCTCAGACAAGGATTCCTTTGTAAGTGGAGTCCTTTTACTACCAACTCTGTACTTCAGGCACTGCTTATTCTTTGGTAAACTTGGCATGGTAGTAGGAAGGGGCATTAGGTATAGTTGCTAATAGATCTTGGTGGTACAATATGAAGTAGATATTGTATATCTTGCTTTCAGAAACTTTTAGCAGTGCTTAAGCTATACGCAAGTATTCAGATTGTCTACGTTCCTTTTTAATTAGTCCTAAGAGACATCAGCACAAAGCATTTGGGAATATAAATAACTGAAACACACATTTCTGAATGCTCTGTGATATGAAGCATTAATGGTGGATCTAATCTTGCTCTAAACTTAGGCTAAATCCCGTTAATGTTTTTTTTTTTCATAACCTAACCTTTGATCCTTTTATGACTAAGTAGCTTACATTATTTGTGGTCTACTAAGAATATTATTTCCATTTTTACAATGTGTACATTGCCTTGCAGATTTATGGATCACTGCAATCATTTAAGTCAATAATTTCTACAAAGGAAAATCAAAAGCAGATCCCACTATGGTTAAGCTTTCTAGCATTGGTATTAACATGTCAATAATTGTTGAATGTGAACTTTAAGAAAAAAGTTCACATTCAACAATTATTGGACATGCTAATATCCAATTTGTTTCATTGGCAGATTGCATCCTGATCCATTACTAATGATAGATGATTCATAACTGTTTCATATCTACCAGATGCATCTCAAAACACTTGCTTTCATGACTACAACAAATTGCTTTTTGCATGCAGTTGTTACTACAGCAAATGGTATAAATGAAAGAAAGAACAATGACCAATAATGTCAGTTCTCCAGGATGAATTGGTTGGAGACATAAGAATGGCAACTGGGGGGAAGTCTCTCCCCCGCTCATTATCAAACTAACCTACCCAAACTAAGGCATACATTGAATTAGGTTCATTATTTTCCTAAAAGGTTGAACCAACTAAATATTATGAAGCCTGTGTATCTGATGCCTGTGCTTGTGACACTGGGGGAGACTGTGAATGTTTCTGTACAGCTGTAGCTGCATATGCACAGGCGTGTCAGGAGGCCGGCGTATGCATCCCTTGGAGAACTCCATCCATCTGTCGTGAGTACACTTCCCAGGAATGGTGAAGGTGGGAATAAGAGTAGAAAACATTTGTAATTTGTTCAGTTCTCATGACCACACCAAAAGTGATTTTTAATAGTACAAAACTATCAACATTGGACTTATGATGAGTGCTCTGAATGCACCCAAATGCTGCAAAAGCTGAAAATCTTCAGAAGGTATTAACTTTCAGAGCTGATGTTTACATTCAGTATTTCACATCATTACTGCATCCTCATGTCTTTATCTCAGCCCAGTCCAGAAAGATATAAATGAAAGATGTCTATGAAGATTGCTGGCAATGCATTCATACTCAGGTTTTACTTGCTCATGTGATTTTGTGTAATGAGTACCTAAGTCTCTAAATATTTGGAACTACCTTAAGTTAAAGTTGAGATTCATTGAACCGTATTGCTACTAGGTAGCTAGCATATGAACAGACATGTGTCCTGTATCTAAGAAAGCCTTACTATATTGCTAGGGAGGATACACCTATGTCATATGAATAAGATGATATGTGAACAAGTAAATGCAAGGGAATATTTGGAAACAGAATAATAATTCTTGGAACAAGATGTAATCCTTCCAATGTATACTTGAGGTGAATTCCCCCTGCCCCCACCATTAGATTCAAATAATTTTCAGCCCATGGTCTTTTTTGCTATCCATGGGACAACAAGTTCAGTGTGAATCCTGACATCTCAAGAGATTTAGGGATTCCCACAAGATTTTAGCCATTTTTAACCTATAAATTGTTCTTGTGCGTGTATCTATATTGGATTCTGTGGGTGCCATTTAGCATCAGATTGCTGAACACTTGTCTCTCAGAAGTAACTGCCACTGATTTTATTTGGACTTCCTCCAAAATAAGTCCAGTGAAAAAACAGCAGATATCCTCTCATAGTCTTATTAGGTTCAAGGGCACTTATTTCACGATAAACAGGTATTGGACTGCAATCTTGGTTTGATAATGCTTTCAAATAAGAAAATATCATAACATTCATCGTATTAAGGGACATTAAAAATTGTAGAAAACTCTTGTAAAACAAATGCATTTAATTTGAACGTTTCATTTCTCCCCTATTTCCTTTCCTTCCAGCTTTATTCTGTGATTACTACAATAAAAAGGGAGAGTGTGAATGGCATTATCAACCTTGTGGTTCTTCTTGCATGAAGACCTGCAGGAATCCAAACAATTGTTCACTTGAGTTATATGGCTTGGAAGGTATAACATTTATGCATCCTACCTTTGATCTGCATCAATCATGAAAAGCTGAAAATTGCATTATTCTATATTAATTGTTGTAATTTCTACAGTAGGAACTATTCAAGGCTTGCTTAAGAAGTGAGGATATAATTTTCCAAGCAATTCTTTATACACAGTGTTAAAATTATTTGTTCAGTTCTCAATTATTTGAGTTTAGTACTCAATTTAGTACTAATAATTTAGTATGGATGGATACAGCTTTGCACGTGCTAACAAATAGAATATCATACTTAGTAAAACAAGAAAAGAAAAAAGATGCTTGATCTGTCGGCACAACATTTATTTTGTAAGCATAGTTTTGAAAAATGTTAGGCATTGTCTGCTCTCCTTTCCATCAAGCTTTGAAGATTAGATTTTGTGAAAATGTCTCACATATATCTATTCTCTTCCCTGCTTTGATCATCTTGTCTGGTGAAAAGCTTACACCAAATTCTCTTTCTTACTATAGGGTGCTATCCAAAATGTCCAGCCAATAAACCCTATTTTAATGAAGATGAGATGGACTGTGTCTCCCTTGAAAAGTGTGGCTGTTTTGATGACAAAGGATACTATTATAAACCAGGAGAAAAATTGCCTTCAGAAAAGAGCTGTCAATCATGGTAAGATTTGTCTTTAAAGCGCCAGGACTGTGAAGTTAAAGTTCTGGTGGAGGCATTACTTAAGACAGCAACGTGTTTCATAAAGTAACAGCAAGAATTAGCAGGCAACCTTCTGAAATGCTCTTCTGAGGATTAATTTCTTGAAAAAGATCGTACTAGGATGCACTCTACTTTCTATTCATCTCACCCCAGTTTGGGCTAAGAGTTTGCTCAAATTATTTCAATAAATAATGACACTTATTCTTTTTGACACTGAGCTATTTTGTTCCAGTTAGGGCATAAGATTTTCTGTCCCCATTCCTTTTTTCCAATCTTGTGAAGAGAGACATTTTCTGAAAATGAATTAATATAACTTAAACAAAGGAAAAATAATAGTAACCTGAAGAACTTCCACAAACAGAAAGGACGAGTATGTTTACAAATTCTGAATTTGGCAGGAAGCTATTTTTTTCCAGACATTTTGACAGGAGATTTCTATACAATGATCTGAATCTGCTTGTAATGGTGTGTTGGTTTCTATATGATTATATTCCAATTGTACATAAGTACATTTGTTTCAGCCTGCTGTGCTTTTTAAAACTGTGAGCAGTCTTCTAACATGTGTTCATTCATTTCCTTACAGTTATTGTTCAATGGACAGCAAAGAGGAGTGCAGATATGATGAAAATGGTGAGCAGATTGTGTTGATTTGATGTGGGTGGTTATTATTTGGGTCAGCTGTTGTGAGGACTGAAACAGCCTTAATGACCAACTGATTTTTTGAATGGCAGAATGTTACTGTGTCTATGAAGGAAAGATAAGCAAACCTGGCGATATCATCTACAACACAACCGATGGCATTGGAGGATGCATCGTGGCCATTTGTGGTCAAAATGGCACAATTGAGAGGAATATCTTTCCATGCCACACAACCCCTACTAGTATACCCACCTCTACTGTCTTTGAATTTACTAGCACCACTTCACCAGCGACTACTAGTTCAGGTACAAATTCTAACAACTCTGTGGACTTATATTTTTCCTTAATAAATGAAATGAGTCTCCAGTTAGGATGTTGGCCATATTAGAATAGAAATGTTAATGCATTTGTAATATATGATAGTCTAATGTCCATAATAGGTAAACTCATGAAATCTGTGATCAAAAGATTCAGAAAAATGAGATATTTTCACTTTAAAAAGAATCTATTAATTTAGTCCTCTTTAGTTATTACAGCACCTCCAAAATAATCTTAGGAACTGTAGTTTGATGAGAATGCTGAGAATTTCTTAGAAAATTCCAGTTAAAGGTTTAAATAGAGACATAGGGGAAAAAATCTAAATTCATAAAAATTTATAAAATATATAAATTTATTTTTATTTAAAAAGATTTATGAACTTATAAATCTAAAT